CCTGTTCCGAATATGTAGCTAAAGAAATAAACAAAATCTCATACCGTATTATAACATGTAGAAGGCAAAATAAAAAATACGTAGAGGGAAACCTGACAGTGAGAACGAAGCACCAATGATGGTACTTTTAAAGCAAAAATACAATTTCTTGGGAGCTTCTCTGAATGTTGCTGATGAATTGTAATTTTGAATATGATAAAACAAAACTGTGAAAGATAAGGATGTAAGCATATTGTATATATGTATGTATTGTATATACATTCCCTTAAAATTGGATAATCAAATTCATCTTAGTTTTTAATTGCCTTGTCCCCCTTTGAACTACTGTACCTGCTAAGACAATTTCCACTTTGGTGTCAGTGAAAGAATCCTCACTAAAACATTGGCTTTGCACCCTCTGTAAATACTACGAAAAAGTCAAACCCCCCTGAATAAAAAAAAATTCAGAATGTCTACATGTAGTACCCTTGGCAACAAAACAAACAATTTTCCAGGATTTTTTTTTAAAAAAAACCTCTTCCTACTTAAGTCTTCAGTTCTAGGGTTTCTTGAAGCATTCTTTGCCAATTCCATGTAGCTTTTTTTCACCGTCTGGGAAGGTCATCTAGGTTCTAACAGCAAAGTCATATTGGCAACAATACACAGAATGACTGGGGCGGTTCCCATCTGCTTGTGTTCATGAAATATGGGGAAAGGGTGGAGGGATTTAGCAGAGCTCCTAAGAAGGCTTGCCTGAATTTTCTCCAAGTTTTCTATGTCAGGAGAAAGAGCTGGGAAAAGGCTGAGATTGGACTGTACTAAAATTCAGTAAGTGCACTTAGCCCACCATCAAAAGAAAGCTAATGGGCTACATGTTGCCTCTGGACCATACCTTTTGATAACTACCCAGGGATTCCTTGTCTCCAGCTGATATGTTCCTCGAGTGAGGGAGTGGGAAAGACTTACACTAATGCCTGAAATACGGCATCAATCTAAATGACTACGGTAATTCTTTTGTCTGTAACTAAACATAATCCAATAAATTTGATTCTACAAATTGCATGGATTGGTCTTTATTTAATGCTGGACTGTCAAAGTAGGACAAAGTTCAATAGTTACAGGCTTGTGTAAGTAGAAGATGTGAGGTTTACACTTGCACAGAGGTTCAGCAGGGGAACGTACTTCAAACTGTTCTTTCTAAAGTAGCTGGGTTGATGGACACCATTTAACAACACAAAGATCTTCTAGGTTTACTGATAATGTTTCCTACATTCTTACTCTACTACGTTGTTTCAGCAAACCATAAATGCAACCCACTATTTAAAAGAATCTTGAGGAAGTTAATTGAAAGACAAACTTCTTACATGGTTGATAACTATTTTTTTCTTAATAGAGGCTGGACAGGCGGTCAAAGACAGAGATGGACTATGCAAGCAAAGATCAAGAAAGCTGCAGTACTAGTGTTAAGAGCTCAGAGAGGTAAGGATGTGGTGCTAATTCAAGAAGATTCCTTTGAGTGTGTTTACTCAATGTATTTCACTAAAACAAAGACTGACTCTCACATTATGCAAGTCTGGTTGTAGTGTTAACCTTTGTGATATTATCCACTGTTAAATGTGGAGTAAATCCATCTGGTTTTGTTATTTTATGATTCAGTGTATTTGACAAATTGGTAGATGGGGAATTGAGCAACCAGATTGTGTATAATATGATAGCATAACCATTGAATCTGGGATATCTTCCACAGGTTAATTTGGAGCTCCGCTCTTTTGTATGATATCATGTTTATACAAGGATATCCAAAGGATATGGTTGATGTTCAACTTTTTTTTCCAAAAGGAATACCAATTTAATTATTATGGATGGGTGGGAAAAGCAAGAAATCAATTTCATACTAATTTGACTTGAAGTCAGCCAGTCTGTACCAGCAAGCTTACCCTGCTGGACAGCTGTTGTGGGAAGGCCTCCTGAACTTCCAAAGGCAAGATGGAATATAAATATAACACGCAAACAAGTCAATATTGTAATTTTTGATGTATCAAGAATAGAGGATTTTCCAGGATGAATCTTGACTTTGAAAACGTTGCAGGGAAATAGAGCACTACTAAACCTTTGCAAATTAAGTTATTGTGGTCTAGGGCAAATGAATCAATGAAAACATGCGAAACAAAGTGAAACCAAAGCCAATACTATAGTAAAAATGAGACACTGAAAGAAACTAGACTTATTTGACCATCCTTAGCCATTGCCATATATTGCTTTTTAACGGGTTTATTGGATGACCTTTTTTAATCTGCTATTGTGGAGTATACATTTTGCAGAAGGGCAGGATGAATGTGTATTAGCGGCAAAACTTTTAAAAACTCCTCTACATTCAAATCTTAGCAGAAGGGAAGAAGCTAAAAAGTTGGGAGAAACTTTATCCTGATGATTGATGTCCTTTTTTAATGACTTGAATATTTTATCCCCCAGAGAAAAAGCAATGAAAATGGAGTGTATGGTAAGTGCAGACTTCATATTTTATTTTATTTTAAATTCAAGCATTTTAGGACACAGTTCTCTGGGTGCATCTGGCTGCTTTCTGTTAAATAAGACCACAGTTCCAACTCAGGGGTGGGATTCAATTTTTTTTTTACTACCAGTTCTGTGGGCGTGGCATGGCATGGCTTGGTGGGCTTGGCAAAATCTCCATTCCCACCCATTCCAGGGAAAGGTTACTGTAAAATCCCCATTTCTCCCGATCAGCTGGGACTCAGGAGGCAGAGAATAGATGGGGACGGGGCCAGTCAGAAGTGTATTAAGTGGGTCTCTGAACTACTCAAAATTTTCGCTATCGGTTCTCCAGAACTAGAGAGAACCTGCTGAATACCACCTCTGTTCCAACTAAGCCCAGCCAAGCGTATACAGTATCCAGCATGGTTGTTCTTGAACAACATGCAGTTCACTGGTATATTATTTGTGGTCTGCAGAGTCCTATTCCCCACAGGAATTTTTTTAAACTTCTGGAAGGGTCGGCATTTTAGAAGCTTGAGGCACTTATTTGACTTCTTTAAATGGGTCTTATCCCTACCATATAATGAGCTTGTTTCTTGACATTTCATGCAAAGCCTGAAGTGCCTTTAAAGCCAATGAAAGTTCTGAACTCCTGATTTATATTCACAGTAGCACCTAAAGTTAGATTAAGGCATCCCATGAAGTAAGGGCTTACCGTAGTTCTTTGGGAAAGATAGAACAGGTTGATTTCACTGTTGATCTGTGTTTCTTATAAACAGGAAGGGGAGACAAAGTGGGTGGGTCAAACCTGGCCTGCGCTTAGGGTACCAAGGAAAGTGGCACTTTCTCCCCTCACCCCGTACCTCTTTCTCTACCAAACTCAACTTTAAATTTTTGTATTTGAATTTTTCCCTTATAACAATTGTATTAAAATGCATTAAAAGTGTGTTTAAAATTTGCATTTCCCTATCTACCTAATTATAGGCAAATAATTTTGCTGACATTTCTTACTGCTGTTTAGTATTCAATAATTCATTAAAAAGTTAAATTTAGAAGTGATTTTTTTTAATCTCTTAATTCTCCTTCAGCATTTATTGAGTTTTAGCGCCTTGTCAGTTAAACAATGGAAGGGCACCATTGTGGGACTGTGTTTTGGGTACCAATCCAGCCCAGGTAAAAACAGGGCTAAGTTGTGTGGGTAAGTAAATCATCCGGAAAGCAGAGGTCATTTGCAGCTATGGTTGCACCTCTGGCAACAAGCTCTTTCTCCACAGTTCAGCTGATAGAGTTTTCACAGCTTTAAGAGAAGGCGACCAGGGGAAAAAGCCTCCAGAAATGGCTCACATTGTATTTTCTCTGTTATCTTTCAGCTAAAGAAGGTACTGGTAGAAAACCAACAGTTGAAAAATGCTGTAAGTGTTGTTCTTCTGTAAACTAATGTAAGACATAGTGCTAATGTTCCCTTATTGAAACTAATCCTGTGTAATTGAACTGAAACAAACATACAGTCTTATCCCATCTTCTATGACTTCCACCCCCCTCCTTTTGTTGTTTTATTCTATAGATAATAAAATGAGCAGAGAGTATGGTGCTGGTGGTGGTGGGGAGGCATGTAACAATTTGCAAACATTATAAAAAACACAGTAATCCAAGGAATAAATGAACATCTTCCTTCCTGAGTAAGGGCTCCTCCTTAAACTCTTCTTATACTGAAATTGGTTGGAAAATAAACTAACTTCCTTTCTGGAAAGAAGTTAGATTCTTTTGTGTGTCTCAAACTTTTCATCTACTCTGATCATGGTGATCACTTGGCTTTATGTTCAAACTATATTTACCATAACCGCTATTCCTTTACATTTGCCACCTAGCCTATGAAAATAAGAAGTAGTTGCTTTCATTTCTGTGGGTGAGTCTTTGAGGACATGTGTTATACCCTTCAGATTGACCCCTATTGATACTTCAGACTTTCCTATCTGATGTGACTACCGGTGGGCAAAAAGGGAAAGGAAGGGAGATTTATCATCATTGCTTTAACTTGGGTTGGAAGAGAAAGCTAGCAGAACTTTTGTCAATAGAGGAGGGGGAAGAGAAGGAGGAAGAACCTCTCATAGGTCAGAGAACTAAAGATAATGTTTAAAGATAATGAGGAGAAATCCTATGTACATCACTTTGAATCCCTACAGAAAATGCAGGATTGTAATATTGCATGCATGCATGCATGCTTGCCTACATACATACATACATACATACATACATACATACATACATTACACACACACACACACACACACACACACACACCTGTTGTACCTAAAAATATATATGTGAGAGACAATAAGGAAGTAGGATTAAGCAACCTATTGTTTTTGTTTATTTTATTCTGTCAGTTTGGCAAATCAAAATCTAAAGTAAGTCGAGTGGCTGGGTAGGTTGTATATTACTAGTTGGTCTATTGTCAGAGATGGCAATGTCCAGTATAACAGGAAAAGCCATCTGGATGAAACTTTTGTGTCTCTTTCATAGGTTGTCTTCCTGAAGCAGCAGAATAAGGGTAAAGCTTTCCTCTATTTTGATTCCATAAAAAATGACATCTTCAGGCATAACTTGACATTTTCAAGTGTTCGTAAAACAGCCAACCCCATAATCAGCTAAATGTTTTACAACCAACTTTATTGTATTTCATGTAAATGACCATTGACTATTGGACAACTCAGAAATTTGTTCCAAGCATTAGTGGGCCAAGTACTTAGACTTCCATCTGCTTGGAAATTGGATATTGGGTGGACCCTTCATTATGCTATTATTTAGTAATTGTTCACTTCTTGTTTGGATCTTCAGTGTCGCAACTATTACCAACAATATTTCATGAACTCCCCACACCCCCACTTTGGCCTCCCACAGGTTTTTCCACACTCTGGTTTTTATTATTATTATTATTATTTTAAAGTATCATTTTGCTTGCAAAGAAAAAATATTAGAAAAGAATCTGGCCTGTAGCAAAATACCACCCTCTCCACAACCAATTTTATTTCCACAATTTCAAATGAGAACTAAGAACCATTACTTTTTAGAAAATAAAAAAAATAACAGGTTGATGCAATCCAATGCTGCTGGAAAGAAACAGATGCCTTCAACTAAAATAAGAGAGAGGTATGACAGGATTGATAGTGAATATCCCAGAGATGCCCAATAGGGTGACAAACTGCAGCCTGCTTCAGATAAACTGGTGTTTTGTGTTTGGTTTTACCCATTAGGACAGCCAATTTAGGAAAAGATAATTTCCATAAATGCAATACTAAATATCACATTTATGATATTTGTGAAATTTGATACTAAATGATACCCTGTTTCCCAAAAATAAGACCTCCCCGGATAATTAGCCCAATCGGGCTTTTAGTACATGCACTAAAATACCCCCACAAAATAAGCCCTCCCCTAAAATATTTAAATGCATGCATAGCCAATCCCTGCCATTTCCTGGGGGAAAGGGGGAACATGACCGTGTGCCTCACATGTACCTGCCATCCATATGGAACAGCCTTGTGGAGGCCGCTCCCACAAACCCTAGCTACTGCGCCCCTTCTCTTAGTGGTGCCTGCAAAAAGAGCAGCAGGCCCAGCAATGCTAAGGCTGGCAAGTGTTTGCCAGAAACAGAGGCAGAACCTCCCCCCCACCTCTGGATCAGCTGATCCGTGGGCCATGGGCCGAGGTTAAGAGGCCTCCTGCACCTCAAAAATAATAAGACCTCCCCGAAAATAAGGCCAAGCGCTTATTTCGGGAGTCAAAAGAAAATAAGACCCTGTCTTATTGTGGGGAAAACATGGCACTAATTTAGATACTAAATCATAAATGCAGTGGGGAACCCCCACTGCACCCAATAAACACTGGAAAAAACTGATTTAGGGAAATCATATACCTTTGATGAAAACTCAGAAGCAATGCAGTTTAAACAAAGCTATGAGTTTTGACTGATGGAGACTTTTTCCTTCCAGAAAAAGACAACGTGGATGACTGCAAGAGGTCAGTGCCAGTAGTAAATCTACAACCCAAGAGATGAATCTCTGAGAAACAGCAGACATCAAGTCTTCTTTTTCCCTTCTCTCTCTGTTTTTTTTAAGGTCCAAGGATAAACTTGTCTCTGAAATTGGGACTCTGTTGACTGAAATTGCATTTCTCAAAGAAGCACGAGAACAACTGGTGAGCTTTTTGAATCAAGATGCCCATATGTCTTCAATTTTTTCTTCTTGTTCATTTATGCCTCGTGTTTGTAGAATATCTTGTTAGAATCCAGAGACAACACACTTATGCCCACTAACCAGTGGTGAAATTCAATTTTTTTACTACCAGTTCTGTGGGCGTGGCTTGGTAGGCATGGTGTGGCCTGGTGGGTGTGGCTTGGTGGGCGGGGCAGGGAAAGGATACTACAAAACCTCCATTCCCACCCCACTCTGGGGCCAGCCAGAAGTGGTATTTGCTTCTTCTCCGAACTACTCAAAATGTCCGCTACCGGTTCTCCAGAACTTGTTAGAAGATGCTGAATTTCATCCCTGCCACTAACCCCCTCTTGAAAGGATCTGATTTCAAGACAGATGCTCTAAAACAGAGGTGACTTGTGGACTTCAACTCCCAGAATTCCCTCTGCTCAGGAATTTTGGCACTTGAACCCCACAAATCATAAAAGAGCAACAATCCCTCACCATTGCTTTAAACCAGGGGTGTCAAACTGGCA